CCGCCGCTGGCGGCTGGCTGCTCGACACTCAGCAGCTCCACGTCAAAGAGGAGGGTCGAGTCGGGCGGGATGAGCGGGGGGATGCCCTTTGCGCCGTACGCGTACTGCGGCGAGCAGGTCAGCGTCGCTCGCTCGCCCGGCGCCATCGCTGCGACGCCCACCTCCCAGCCGCCGATCACGCGGCCATCACCCAGCGTGAACTTGAACGGCTTGCCGCGCGAGCGCGACGAGTCGAAGGGCGCGCCCGTCGCGGCGAGTCGGCCCTCGTAGTGCACCTCCACCGTCGCGCCCTTGAGAGGCGCCGCACCCAGACCCGGTTGCACTGTCTCCTTGAGCACCCCGCCGTCGCCGACAAGGTCGAGGACCGGCGCGGCCGCAGAGGCGCAGAGGCGAGGCTGGGCCGCCGCGCCACGCGCGGCGAGCGCCGGCCGCCGCACTGCTGATGTCGGGCTCCACGCGCAGGCGCTGAAGAGATACACCAACATCGCAGATGTTAGTTGGGTTCGTTCTCCGGGCTCGGGGTGGGTCTCCGCGCGTGACTGTTTTTTATGTGAACTAGCCTGTGCTTGTGCGTGGGTTCGGGGTTGTGTTTTTGCGTGAACTAGCCTCGCTTGTCCGCAGACAGAGCAAAAAAAACCAATTGAGCGTCATCTTGTAGTGAACAGGCCGAGTTCGCGGTTTGAGCCAACCAACCCCTGCCTAGACGATTACAGCTATCGCCACCTACGAGTCCGCCCTCTCGGACTGGAAGGAGGTGTGCGAGAAGCGCACCGCCCGCGACAAAAACAAGTACTACACCGTCCGCGGCGGCTACCTGACTGAGTTCTACCCCAAGAGCGTCCCGCTCCCCGAGCCCGAGTCCCTTCCAGCTACCGACGCGATTCTCAATGGCACTTGCAAATCCACGTACCCGCGGCCGCGGGCGCTCGCTGCCATCAAGAATCACAAGGACTGGTACGCGCACCAGGAGCTCGTCAAGGCGCGGGATGCGCACGTCAAGAACAACCCGTCCCTCGGAGACAGCGCCGTCAACAACCGCGAAGCCGCACGCTTCGTCTCCGCCTCAACGCCTTTCGCCGGCAAGGCCTTCGATGTCCGTGTCGACGGTACGTACGCCACCGCCCTCTCCTCCGACACCCTCCAGGACGAGCTCCAGCGAAAGCTCGGCCTTTGGCTCTCCGCGGCGCTTCCCACCCTTCGGGTCGCGCTCGAGCGGGGCATGCCAGTCGATTTCTTCGGCGACTACCTTTACAACAAGGCCCACCACCGGCGGCCCCACGACGGCGTCCTCGCCGCCTGGGCGGACGCGATGCGCGCCCCGGCCAACGCGCCGGTCGTGCACGGTGACAAGGAGAAACTAGAGCTCACCCGGCAGTACAACGAGGGGTACAAGGTCGACCTCGCGGAACCCCACGCTGGCCCGGGAGGGTGCGATGAAGTGAATGAAATCAAGCTCTGGACGCCCCTCCTCAAGACCTCCTCGCCGGGCGTTG